ATCTCTTTCTGACTAAAGCTAGGGAAGGTTATCCACTTTTAAACACTCATGTGATTAGGTGACATATCCACAAGTTCCCAGGATTAGAGCTTCAACATTGCTAGAGAGCTAATATTCTTTCTGTCACAGGTGCCTATCCTGTATCAGGTTTTGATTCAGGCAATATGAGATAGACAGGTGGAGAAGGACAATAGCAAGTAAACAAATGCATATGCAAGACATTTTCTGACAAAAGTTCAAAAATTCACTTTTCCCCAAGCTTGCCATTTATACATTCATTAATTCAACATTTTTTAGTACCTCCTATGTAAAAGGAGTTCTGTGCATTTCAGATGGGCTTCCCTGGTGACTCAGTGGTAAAAGAATCTACCTGCCAATGCAGGAAACGGATTCGATCCCTGGGTTGGAAAGATCCCATGGAGAAGAAAATGGCAACCCACTCCAATATTCTTGCCTGGGAAATCTCATAAACAGATGAGTCCAGTGGGCTGTAGTTCATGGGATCACAAAAGAGTTGGACTTGACTTAGTGACTAAACCACAACAACAGCAATGAATTTCAGGTAGAATAGTGAATGGACAAAGTTTCACTCTAATGGTATATTCTCATAGAGGCAACAGATAAACATATATACACAAAATAGAGAACATGGTTTTTAGATAGTGGCAAATGCTATGAGGGAAGTACTCCATACTCATTCTCCTGTACCTTTGCATTTTTCATTTATTTCCTCTTTTATTTAGTCTAATAGTTATTTCAAGTGCTTACAGTGTTTCAGGCAAAGTACTAACTAAGCACAAGGTTTACAGTACAGAGCACAGATCTGGCTTGTATGTCATTAGTGTAGTGAAGGGAACAAATTAGTATAAACCATACATTGTGGTGAGTGTTGTGGGGAGGATGCAGGTGTTTGGGAGACACATGGGGACTCTGGATGCTCTCCCTGGGTCTAGGACACTTTCCCCCCGCCACTTCCTCTTCACTGAGAACTCACGCTCATCCTTCTGGATATAACCTAGATGGATCCTCTTTGAATAACAGTTTCAGGTGTAGTGCTTAACACAAACATTTGTGTTTTTATTTTTGTTTTATAATAGCATTATTTTTTAAATTGTACAGTGCTGTCTCAGTTTACCCGAGATCGATGATTATTCTTACAAGTATGTCCATTCACATTACTACATGACATGGGCATTTTGATTGTGAAGTGAAAATGTTAAGTCACTCAGTCATGTTCAGTGCATTGTGACCCCATGGACTGTAGCCCACCAGGCTCTTCAGTCCATGGAATTCTCCAGGCAAGATTACTGGAGTGGGCAGCCAATCCCTTTTCCAGGAGATCTTCCCAACCCAGGGATCAAAACTGGGTCTCCTGCATTGCGGGTAGATTCTTTACTGTCTGAACCACCAGGGAAGCCTGGGCTTTGTAATTATATTTTAGTAAAAGCATGCGAGTAAGCAAAACCCCTTTATTTGTGTGTCAGTTATTGTATACAGTGTATAAACAAGGAAAAAGGTGTTGAAGAATATACCCCAGCTGTTAGCAGCAAATGGCCAGTTTTGGCTTTCTGCATTTGTGCTAATAGATATTTGTGGGGTGGGTGAATAAGAACTGCCCAATTATGGCTAAATGGCTTGGCTGATAAGATAGTGAGCATCCACTGAGGACTGAACAGATACCATCCTGCTCAAATCATACACCCTTCTGTTTGTGTTTTATTTTAGTTACATTTTGACATCTGGTTAACCTAGATGGTTTCATAAGTGAATTAAGAACCAAGAGAGCATAAATAATCAATTCCTGTACTGTATCCAACTTGCTTAATAGATTCTTATGCCATAATTCCTCTTCTGCAAATTAGGGATAATAGACCTTCTGTAAGGATAGCACAATTAGATTGGTTAAAAGGCAGTCATATTCATAAGTACTAGGGAACCAGAAACTTTTCTAGTATGTATAAGTGAAAACTCAAAATTTTCTTTTGTGACATCTGTGCCAACTGAGAAAAATCTGTGCATTATAAAGGGTTATGATCCACTTTAAAGTTGAAAGTATTTGAACGAATGTCACCCTTCTTTCATAACCCTTAGCATTCAGTTTTCTTCTCTTTTAGTTCTGGACATTAAGCGGGGATCTGTTGGAAGAAGAGCGAAATCCCAGGCTATTCTTATTGTAGAAGCTTCTTCATGAGTTTGTATAGTGACCAGGCTATATCCTGGGGCCTCTTATAAACAATACTTGAGTCATAGAGCAACTTAGGAATGAACTGAAATTTAAGAGAAACTTAAGAGGATCATAGCCCAAGCTCAAGGATTACTAATAAGCCAGCACAACTTGGACAAGTAAGGTCTGAGCTCTATCTGAGGTGGCCTCTGGAGATGAAGGAGAAGGCAAATACTTTCCAAAGTTATACAGATTCTATAGGAGATTTTCTACACAAATCACACTTACACCATTTCCTACTTCTCCCTAATAGTAGAATACAGAGGTAGCCTCACCCCTATGTGCTGTGGTGACCTTCTTTCCCTTGTTTTTAATTTTATTTCTCTTGCATTCACTGATACCTAGTTTATGTCCACTGGCCATTTTTTCCAGGCAAGAAATTAATGAAGAGAGAAAGGAAGGTTGGAGGCACCAAAATGCTATATTCTTACTTCCCTTTGACATCTTTCTCAAAAGTGCCACCCTCAATACTCAAGTTGTGTATTCTTCATAATAAGCTTTATCATGAGTCAATTTTTTTTATCTGTCAAATGAAGGTAATGATGATATCTTATGGTTATTTTGAGGACTAAATAAGTAAAATGCTTAGAGCATTGTCTTGAACAGACATTGCTCATGAAAATCATAGCTCTAATGATTATTAGCATATGAATACTATTCAGTTATCATTTCATATTCATTTTGTCTTAATGAGGATAGTTGTCTTTTAGTGTTCTGATAGACATGAAGAAATGCAAAGGTAAGAAGTCAGTAATCAGTCAGAAAATCTCACTAGCAGCTTAAATTTCACTCCCTATTTATATGCCTGAGTCAAATAAGAAATTACTCTACTAGATGCATCACTGGAAACCTGAAGTGGTGTGATATTCTTGTCTTGTTACTCATGTGTACAGAACTCTTTAATATATTCTCTTGGAATGGCAAAAGCATCTTTTTCTCTTCTCATCTCCTCCTATTTCTCTCTCATGTCTACTTATTCTTCTTAACTGAGATTATTCAGCTCTTCTGAGCACAGCCTTAGAATACACAGACATAGCTCTGAAGGTCATATGCCAAAATGAAGATAATCCAGCTTTTTAAATTTATTCCCTAAAGTATTGAGACCTAAGATAGTTTGCAAAAGGCTAGAACTTGGCTAGATAGAAACTTTGTATCATATGAACTGTTTAAATATTCATAGTGTGTACTGGCAGCTAACAGGGCTACAAACTTTGCCCAGAAAAAAAAAAAACAAAAGAGAATTACTGATTTTCATAGCATCCAAAAATGGCTGCCATGGACTAAAAGCTTAAGTGCTGATTTTGGTTTAATCCCTTAGTTAAATGTATTTTTTTTTAATTCAACTGAGGACAATAGGCAAGTGGTTTTATGCATATGTAAGTATTTTTCTGACTATATTATCAGTATCTGATTCTGACTTTAATGTCATAAAAACTTGATTGTACTGTCAAAGCCATCTCTTTGATAATTGCTAGTGACTTGAAATAGGGGCTTTCCTGGTGGCTCAGACAGCAAAGAATCCTCCTGCAATACAGGAGAGTGGGGTTCAATCCCTGGGTCAGGAAGATTCCTCAGGAGAAGGGAATGGCCACCTACTCCAGTGTTCTTGCTGGAGTATCCCATGAACAGAGGAGCCTGGCGAGCTACAGTCCTTGGGGTTGCAAAGAGTTGGACAAAACTGAGCAACTGAACACACACAGTGACTTGAAATACCTGACACATTTCCTTCACAGTCAGCAGATTCCCTTCTATAGAAATGCATGGAGGAAATTATGAGCAGTTGAGCTATAAAATAAATCAGATTGGGGAAGAACTGGGTTTCTTGACCATGATGTCTCACAACTTGAAAAGATTTCATTCTATGCAACCAGCTGACACATGTTCTTCATTAGCTTATATGAAGATGCCAGAAATGTAGGTGTTTACTGATTGTTTTGGTTTAACTGACACGTTTCTCCCATATAATTAAGGTTTTTTGTTTTGTTGTTGTTCTTAAGCTGGTTGATAAAATTTGTTAAAGTATTTTCACAATTTCAGATAACAGCATAAAAGTAAATGTTGGTACTGCAATGAACTTTAAATTCTTTTTTCCAATAATATCTATTTAGTGAAATCCATTTGATTTTGTTTTTTATAGGTATGCTCACAAGTTTGACTTTTATAAAGTATGCATGCCCTCTCAGTAGCTCAGTCCTGTTCAACTCTTTGTAATACTATGGATTGTAGCCCACCAGGCTCCTCTGTCCATGGGATTTCCCAGGCAAGAATACTGGAGTGGGTTGCCATTTCCTCCTCCAGGGATCAAACCCACACCTCCTGCATCTTCTGCATTGGCAAGCGGATTATTTACCACTGAGCCACCTGAGAAGCCCCTTTTATACAGTATGCATCCTCTCAATATGGTATACACAAATGTAAACATTAAAAATGTTCATTAGTTTTCCCTTTCCAATAGTATTTATATAAAATGTAAATTCAGATAAAATGAGATTAAGTAATCAAAAGTTTATGAAAAGTGACTTGGAATGTCTGTACTCAGTATCTTAAATGATTAATGTTACATAAGAATTGACCATTACTCAATATAAGGTAAGTACAATTAACTAATCACTACTTTTAAACTCTACTTTTAAGAAACTTCTTCAAAAAATTTATAAACTGTAGTTAATTATTTGAATTATATAAATATATCTGTTCCTATAAATATGTGTGTACAAATATATATATAAGGTGTATATCAAGGAAATACATTCATGATTTTTGTTTACTATTTCAGATGTACATTACCAACACAATCAAAGCCAAAGGAACAAGACTTGCTAAGCCCGTTTTATGCCTAGGCTTAATGTGTTTGGCCTTTCTTACTGGACTCAACAGAGTTGCAGAATATCGAAATCATTGGTCCGATGTGATAGCAGGCTTTCTGGTTGGAATATCTATAGCAGTATTTCTTGTAAGTACAGGTTTCTTTAGATATAATTTGTTTCTTAATTAATGTGTATAACCACCTTCTAGACAATACAGGTGTGAATCACTGGGTTTAGTTTTCGAAAGGTGGTCTATGAGATGGAAATATGTATGTTTTAAATCACTCATTTCTTTCTTCCCCTTCATTTGCTCTGCCTAAAGTCAGGCTTGGGGTGAAAAGTACGTATTTTCTACATTTAAAAGTGAAGAGAATATTTTATGCAAAGTGGAATGGGGCTAAAAAAACAATCACACCTCCCTAGATGTTTTTTGATTGGAGGAAAACTGCTTTATAATATTGTGTTGGTTTCTGTAGTACAACAGTGCAAACCAATCATAATTTATACACACACACACACACACACACACACACACACACACATTTCCCTTCCCTATTGAGCCTCCCACCCCACCCCCTCATCCCACCCCTCTAGGTCATCACACCGCACCAGGCTGGGCTCCCTATGTTATATAACAGCTTCCTACTAACTGTTTTACACATGATAGCGTGTAAATGTCAATGCTACTTTCTCCATTTGTCCTGTCCTGTCCTTCCCCCACTGTGTCCACAAGTCTGTTCTTTACATCTGCATCTCCATTCCTTCCCTACAAATAGGTTTTTAAGACTGGGTTATTTGAACGTTTAAAAAATTTCCTCAGGGCACTTAGTGTCCTGAAGTATGTAGAGTGTCCCAAAGTGCCCTGGTGCCTCCAAATAGTCCTCTCCTGAGCGGCCAAGTCCCAGAACCTGATAACAGGTGAAACTCACTTGTGAGATGAACCGGTGGCCTTCAGTGACTGAAAACCCATGGAGAGTTTCCAGGGCAATATCACTCAAATCAGATTTTGCCAAGGAGTGAAGAGCACACCTAGGGACTCCTAATGAGGCAAGCCTGCCGACTCTACTTCTGTGATAAAAATCTCCTTGGGCTATTTCTGTAGATTTTAGTTCTGTAAGTTTAGTTGTTTCAATCTGGCTTTCAGTTCAGTTCAGTCCAGTCGCTCAGTCGTGTCCGACTCTTTGCGACACCATGAACCGCAGCACCCCAGGCCTCCCTGTCCATCACCAGCTGCCGGAATCTACCCAAACTCATGTCCACAGTCGGTGATGCCATCCAACCATCTCATCCTCTGTTGTCTCCTTCTCCTCCTGCCCTCAATCTTTCCCAGCATCAGGGTCTTTTCAAATGAGTCAGCTCTTCACATCAGGTGCCCAAAGTATTGGAGTTTCAGCTTCAGCATCAGTCCTTCCAATGAACACCCAGGACTGATTTTTAGGATGGACTGGTTGGATCTCCTTGCAGTCCAAGGGACTCTCAAGAGCCTTCTCCAACACCACAGTTCAAAAGCATCAATTCTTTGGCTTTAGACTTAATTAATCCTTTGTAGGTATGGATACGGAGAAGGCAATGGCATCCCACTCCAGTATTCTTACCTGGAAAATCCCATGGATGGAGGAGCCTGGTAGGCTGCAGTCCATGGGGTTGCTAAGAGTCGGACACGACTGAGTGACTTCACTTTCACTTTTCACTTTCATGCGCTGGAGAAGGAAATGGCAACCCACTCCAGTGTTCTTGCCTGGAGAATCCCAGGGACGGGGGAGCCTGGTGGGCTGCCATCTATGGGGTTGCACAGTTGGACACGACTGAAGTGACTTAGCAGCAGCAGCAGGTATGGATATGTAACATTTTTGTTGTTGTTTAGTCTCTAAGTCATGTCCAACTCTTTTGTGACCCCATGGACTATAGCCCACCAGGCTCCTCTGTCCATGGGATTTCCCAGGCAATCATACTGGAGTGGGTTGCCATTTCCTTCTCCAGAGGACCTTCCTGACCCAGGGATCGAACCAATATCTCCTACATTGGCAGGTGAATTCTTTACTGGTGAACCACAGGGAAGCCCGATGTAACATTTTACCTAGATGGAAAAAGGTGTAGACTACTGAATAAATCAAAACATATCTTTGCATTGACACATTGCAAGAAACATTGTTTATATTTTAATTATATTTAAATTATTTATCAGGAGTATCTTTCTTCAGCTTCTTTTCACTAGTTTATAACAGTATGTAAAAGCTTATACAGATCTTTCTAGCTACCAATGATTTGCGCACTGTTATGTACCGGGCATTTTATATAGGTTATTTCTTCTAGAACTTCTGTGGTAAAGCGGTGACTATGCCCTGATCCTTTCTAGACCATGTGCTATTTTTCTTTCTGGTGCCTTGCCTTGCTGTGTCCAAGGTCCCTTGGAAGCTTAGGCCTACCTTCCCCACCCCTAGAGATATCCAGTAGCCTCATGCAAACAGAGGCCCAGGCATGGCCCCAAACCTTTCCCTTGCTTTCACTTATGACAGTTGAAACAGGCTAACTTTTTATAAAACAAAACAAAAAATGCTTCCCATAAATCCTAAGAAAATAATCATAGGCACAGCAAAGAGCATGCCAAAAGTTGAAGCATTAAAGCACTAGTGTCAGATGTAACTGAATTTCAACTCCATGGGTCTGGAACATCTTTGCCGGTATCTCATCAGGCTTCATCTCCTCCTGTGGCTGTAGCCATCTCACCTTGACTGCCAGTGAACATCGTGATACCTTGCAAGGTTAGTCTAGAACACTCATGTCTTCCTTTCTCTTCCTCGTCTGAGAACCATGTGGGGAATGATGAATTGGACTAGGGGTCCCCCTTGAGCTCAAGACCCTCTTACTGCACATATTCAGTACCTTCCATAGGGCCCTTCAAACATTCCCGTGCATCCAGGAAAAGGACCTTATAAAAAGGTCATATGGAAGTGCTTTAACCATATAATGACCGAACAAGCTTTAACGCATAAAAAAAGTGTTTCTGATTTTAATGTGTCAGTGCAAAAGTATGTTTTGCTTTATACCACAGTCTCCTCCTATACCCATAGGAGGAGAAGATGTAGCCTGATGAGGTGCCAGCAAAGATGTTCCAGACCCATGGAACTGAAATGCAGTTATATCTGACAGTAGTGCTTTAACTGGGCCTGCAAGGGGGCTCAGATAAATATGACTGGTCTTCTCTGGGAATCTGTTTCTGGGGTTAGACAGTAATGGCCAGTCTGTTCCCTCAAACATTCCCTCCTTTTCTTCTTTCATGAAATGAACATTTACTGAGACCCTACTCTAATCCAGGCATTGTATTTGGTGCTGGAAATAAGTACATGAAAAGGATACAGTCCAGGTACTTAAATAGATTGCAGTCAGGTGGGATGAGATGGACACGAAGAGTTCTATAGAGGATGAATGTAATGGTAGATATATGGTACATATACTCAAGAGATCTACTCTGTTTGAATTAGGGACAAATCAGAAAGAAAAGACCATATATAAACTTGAAGAGTTTGCAACGCAGATAGGCCTAGCTTGGGGCATAAGGAATGAAGGGCAAAGAGCACAGTGCGCTGGCAATATGAAATGTGTCATAAAATAAGCATGTATGAAGCTCCTCCTGTATTCTAGGCCGAGGGCACAGTGTGCATCTGGCACCCAGAAATGATACCAGTCATCCAACTTGGGTGACAAGAAGGGGAATGCAAAAGCACACAGGGGACACCCTGAATGCCTTGTGTGCTATGACAGTAATTTGGGCTCTTACTTAAAAATGTTGGTGATTTGGAAGCCTCTGTCAGCTCCCAGACAGTTGAAACAGAGAAAAAGTCTGGTTGAATCTCATCCTCGTTATCTACTCAATTTGTGCCCTTAAGCAATTTACCTAACCTCAGTTTCTTCCTCTTTAAATAAGGTTACAGTCTCCTTGAAGGATTGTTACACAGATTGATAATGTGTAAACGAAATGGTATGTATGTTCAGGGCATGGCCACTTGGATGACTGAAATAATTTTATAAATTAGAGATTGTTTCCTTTTAGGTGCTTTTACTCTGTGATAAGATTTGTGCTTTAAAAATATGTTTTCTGGAAAATAAAGCTCCAGGTGAGGATAGAGACAAGTTATGCAGATTCAGGGAAGTGGTGGATGGGCCTCTGATTGCACAGAGGGAGGGGAGCATGGCTGGAGGTGGGATAAACAGTTTGGAAGTTGATGAAACAGTGGAGATGATAAGGATGAAATGGACAACAATCTATATGATGATGCTCGAGTTTCTCATTTGGGCAACTAAGTAGAATATTTATTTCAAGCAGTGACTACAGCTCTGGCTTGCAGTATCTTGGAGTGTTTTCAATTATTCTGCAGTGTGTGTAGATCACTAAGATGATTCCAAGATAAAATTAACACTAACCTACTCCAAGCCGTTGTGTCAGTTCAAGGCATTCATGTCCCCTGTCACCCACGCCCAATGTCTAGCATATGCCTTTGACTCACTCTCCTCCTTCATCCCCACACCCGGTGATTCATCTAGTCAAAGCTCATTTCCACTACAGAATCTTTCTCCCATGTCTTATTTCTTTGCAGTCCTGACCATCACTTCTTGATTGTAGAGATGTAACTGCTTACCTCTTCTATGTCTATCGGTTGCTAGCTACCTTCTCACTTTAGACTCTCCTCCAAATGCCTTGCATGCTGCTTCATACACAGGATAATATAATTCATTGCTAATAAAACAAACAGAAAACCAAGCTTCTTTTGTGCTGGATTAAATCAGACACTTCCATTGGGCTTCTGGGATCCTCCAGAATCTGGCTGCACTCTTTCTGGTCAAGTTTATGTTGCCCTTTTTTTTACAGTGGAAATCCCACACTTGGAATCCAGACAGTGTTCTTCCTCTCACACACTCTGTCCAGCCTGCACATTGCCTCTGCTGGAATGCTCCTGTGTATATTTTAGAGAACAAAACAGGTGTTGGAGTCAGAAAAACCTAGATTGAATCCTGCTATTGCCACCTGTTTTTTTTGCCAGTTTTCCTCAATGTGTGATATTGACCATCCCACGTAGCTCCTCATTATTCCTAAAGTGTGGCCTCCCCTGAACTGTATTTAAAGTGATTACCTCTCCCCCAGACTCCTTTCTTCATTTCCTATTCACTTTTCTCCACTGCACGATTCAACTTTTAGTATACCACATATAATATTTTGGGTTTTGTTTTTTGCTGTCAAACCCTCTAGAATGTAAACCACTTACAGAGATGGTGTTGGTTTTCATCACTATATATTCCCAGGGGTATATAGGAAGTTCTCAGGAGACATTTGATGAATGAATGAATGAACTGTTTTGTTTACTTCCCAGACCTCTTTTGAGGGCTAAGTGAAATCACATATGTAGTCAAGTCAGTCAATTGCATGGTACAGAGAAGTCTATGGATACCATACTCTTCACCTTTGATGACTTTATTATAGTAGATTGACTCATATTATTTTATAAAAATGGGTGCCTCAAAATACTTGCAAGAAAGATGGATATTACAGTGTCAGGCAGGATAATTCAAGTTTACTGACCAAAGCAAGAGCTTATCAGGTTATCATGGATATTCCTAATAGTAATAATAAAGAGTTATTTGAGTATTCTTTACTGCATTAACTCAATTAATCCTCATTCACAGTGAGACATAACTATTATTGTCCTAGTTTTGCAGGTAAAGCAAACAGATCTAGTTATATTAAATAACTTGCCTAGGCTCACAGAATTAGTAAATAAAAGAGCCCAGGATTAAGCCCCAGGCCTGTTTGACCCCAAAGCCCATGCACATAACTCCATATGGAGAGATGTTTTATTTGCCACAAGGAAGAGGCAAACTGATCACAAATGGATCAGATTAACTTATTATCACTACTGGAAAAAAAAACAAAAATCTATATGTAATGGTGACTTATTACTAGTGTTAATTTTTGGAAGAGAGGGTAGAATTACACTCATGGAAACCACTACTGTAAAAATAGAATGTTTCTAAAGAAAGTCACTTTCAATTATATAGGAACATCAGAAAATTTGAGAATTTTTATCCTGGATTCATGCTCATTTATTAATCTGTTCCTTCACCTGGCACTGAGAATAGAATAGTGATCAGAAAAAGAAGCTTGTCTGCTTCCATGGAGCTGATAACCTTGGAAGAAAATCACATCAACCAAAATGCTATGCTTGCAAATATATAATTTCATATAGAGATAGGTATTTCAGTGAAAAGAATCACAGGTCCTTGCCAGCAAATAAAAACAACCTGGGGTCAAGGAAGACTAATAAGGCAGTGATGCAGAGATGAGATATCACAAATGAATGAGATATGATGCCCAAAGACAGTGGAGATGAGTATTCCAAACAAAAGGAAGTGAAAGGAAACCGAAGGTGTTTGGGAAATAGAGAAAGAAGGCTGAAAGGTGGACCTGAGTTTACATTTTGAGAGGAGTGAGAAGCCAAGCCCAAAAGTAGTTTTAAGGAGGTCAACATGATAAAATTTTCATTTTGGAAAGACCATTCTCACTTCTTTGTAGAGAGGGATTGGAGGGAGTCAAGATTGGATTTAGTTTTGAGAAAGCCATGCAGGAATTCAGGCATGTAATGATGATTGCTTAGTCTTTGGAGTTGGTGTTAGAGATAGAATAAGGCAGATATAAGAAATCAAAATCTTTAGGAAGAAGAATTGAACAAATTGAGTGACTGGTTGAGTACAGGAGGTGTTCAAGTTTCAGCCACATGCAACTGCATTTGGGGATGAGAGGGAATTACCTTTCCCTGAGAGGATCCAGAAAAAGATCAAGGTTTGGAGTAGGGTCACGAGATAGATGCATCTTGGCTTTTATTTTGAACATTTGTGGAATTTTTCATACCTTTGCCAACCAAAGAAATGGAGCTGACTTTGCTAATCTGTCACAACCTCTTCACTTTCAAATTGAGAAAACTGAGACACAAAGGACTGTCCAAGAACAGAACATGCAGACTCAGGATCAAAAACCAGGTCCATTGCTATTTCCTATGATCATTTCTCTAATAGGAAGTCAATTTCATATTTGTGAATGTTACCAGACAAGACTTACTAAATATTTGAATATGATTCTAAGGAAGATTTGATAATTTCCTTCCTTATAATTTAAATAATAGCAGTAATAAAGAGTAATCATTATGCTAATAGATGCTTTAATGAATATCTGCTATGTGTTAGCATTTAAATATTTCACATGTGAATTCTTAGCTGCTTCAGTAGTGTTGTCCTGACCCTCAATTAAGGCAAAGAGGTAACTGATAATATCTTTCAGAGTTTTCCTAACCGAAATTAGTATAAAAAGCAACTATACTAATTTCAGTAGCCACTATTAAATCTGTTCTTCATCTAATGACTTCCATTTGTCTGTGTATATAGTTATTTCAGCAAATTTTAATTCAGAAGAATGTGTAGCAGTTTTTTTTCACCTGCTGATTTTCCATTAATTTATATAATATTAATGGTGCTTCCCAGGTGGCCATAGTGGTAAAGAAAGAACCCGCTTGCTAATTTAGGAGACATGAGAGACGAGGGTTTGATCCCTGGATTGGAAAGATCCCCTGGAGGAGGGCATGGCAGCCCACTCAAGTATTCTTGCCTGGAGAATCCCATGGACAGATGAGCCTAGTAGGCTACAGTCCATAGGGTCACAAAGAGTTGGACATAACTGAAATGACTTAGCACGCATAATATTAATGAAAAGAAAATGTGTGTGTATATATATATTTCATGAAATGGGTATGAAACTGCTGTTTGTTATATTGTTGTTGGCTCAAATTCTTGATTATATCCTTTGCTGCTTCCACGCCAAAATGGCAGAGCTGAATACTTACTGCAGAGATTGTACACCCACAAAGCCAAAAATATGTACTATCTGCTCATTACAGACAAAATTTGCTGACCTCTACTTTAGGTCAGTTACTATCTATTAGTCCTTTGCAGGCTCATCATTTGATAGAATGTTTATCAGGTACCCATTTCCAAACCTTTGCCATGACTTTACTCTAAAGATCTTGATGGTAGTGATGAAATTGAGTATTAAGTTATTAGACTTTTATCTGCGCTTCTGATCTGTAATTATTCAAGGAATTGGAAGGATAATACGTATATATCAGTTTGCAAGGAAGTTTTTTCTGAGATAAATTCTAATAGTGTGTGTTATTTTGTAGATTTTAAAATTTAATTTAAAAACTGGAGAAAAATTAAGATCTAATTGACCTTTGAAAATATTCAATAATGAGCCCCACACTTTCCAGTGTGATTTATGGAAAATATACGATGTAAATTTGTGATTGTATATTAAGCATTTATTTTTTAAATGAATGTTAAGTTATAAACTAGCTACAAGTAAATTCTGTATTTCAGTTTGATAATAGAATATAAAACCCAGAAAAAGAAAGCTCAAGAATATCTTACCTACTAGTTCAATATAAGCAACTAATTTTCCTGTATTATTTAAATCACTAATTCTTAAAATTTGATCCACCTACATCAGAAGCTTCAGAAATGCCTTTTAAAAGTGGCAACTCCTAAACCTTATCCTTCATCTTTGAAATCAGAGTTTTTAGGAGAGGGCTTAGGAATTTTTTTTTTTTTTTTAAGTTCCAGAACTTTATTTTCATGCACAGTAGAATATGAGAACTTCTGGTTTAGTATGGGATATAATCAACTGAAACAAGGGTCAGTTTCCTTTATGTAAAAGGTCTTCTATTTCAATGGTAGCCATAGTAAGCTGTTGTTGAAATGCCAAATATATATGGGATGCAATAATAGACAATAAACTAGGGTTAATGATGCTACTAAATTAGAAAGTGCCAATCGTAGAAGGTTTATTATGAATGTAATGATCTTGAAGCAATGGGATATAATTAGCATTTAAATTAAGTTGTAGGTTAGCCACATTAAGGAAAGGTTAGCTTGCTATGAATTTTTATAAGGTTATGGTGTTATTTTTGGATCAGTTTGAGCACTGACTATAACCTAATTTAATGAAAATTTTGGAATAATAGCATTGTCATTATTAACTGAGCTACATCATAATTGATGAATGCTCTTGAACACACTTGCACTGGATTACAAGATAAGTTTGAATGTAAAGTTATAGACCTGTAATATTTAAGTTATGCTGATACTTTATTACTGTGATTAGATTTATCAGGCTGCTCACAAAGATCATGTTTATAGGGAGCATGGCTCTGTTTTAATTGTATTTTTTCCTGAAATTGTAGGTTGTATGTGTGGTAAATAATTTCAAAGGAAGACAACCAGAAAATGAGCATATACACACGGATAACCGGGCACAGATGCCAATGATAAGCATTCCTCGAGTAGAAAGTCCTTTGGAAAAGGTAACATCCGTACAGGTGATTCATAATTTAAATTCTAAAGTGCGATTGTTATCTAGAGCAAATGAATAATTATTCTTGAGAGTTCTTTCACATTTTTGATTTACTAAAATAAGCTCAGAGTCTAATGTGGTATTTAGCAAGAACTTAATCACTCAAGAGAACATCTTTGAAAAATGCGTATCACATAGAAACATTTCTTTGAACTTCTCAGGCTTCAAAGTTGAGTCTGTACATAGACTGTGCTGCAATTTGCCATAGCTTTGAGATAAGGAATATTATACAGTGGTCCCATGCATGGGCAAAATATAAGTTTTACTTGAGAATGTATACATTTTTCATAATACATATTCCATTTCTTCCATGCTTCATGTATATGAAAATCTGTGTAGTGTAACAACTGGCACATACTCAGGACTCAATAAATAGTGCTAAACCTCAGTTTCCGGCCTCAGGGAAACACCAGCGTGCTTTCCTGATCAGGGGGGCCCTGAAGATCAGGCTGGGCTTAAGGGAGCCTGATGAGGTAGCACTTTGAGTGGCAGGTCAGGACCTCATGGAACATAGCAATGAACAGAAAAGCCAGGTTTTAATAACTTTTCTTGAGACTTCTGTGAGCTAGACAGGTTAATATTTCTTAAGCGATGATGGATTCACGCATGTATGTAACTGGTTAGATGACTGCTTATTTAGTAACAGAGGGTTACTAATGTCTTCTCCTCAGCCCTGTCCACATCCAGATTTTGATCAATGTCTTAGATGAAGTTATTAGTAGATGCTAATTGAAGGTTTAGATGGTATGAATCTGTGGAGGGGTCACATAGGATGCACACTTAGTCATGTCTGACTCTTTGGGACCCCATGAACTACAGTCCATGGGATTACCCTGGCAAGAATACTGTGGTGGGTTGCCATTTCCTACTCCAGAGGATCTTCCCGACCCAGGGATCGAACTCACATCTCCTGCGGCTCCTACATTGAGAGGTGGAGACTTTACCACTGAGCCATTCACCTTGGAAGCCCCAGGTGAATCTGTGAGGGATAATTGATACATTGAATGAAATATTAAAAATTCTTAGAAGATTGCAGTAAATGTACCACTAACAATTAACTAGAAATAAAGGAAATATTTCATATTTGGACTTTTTTTTTTAAAGTTCCTGTAGGGTAGGGTATGTCTAGGTTAACTGCACAAATGCAAAAGGCTCAGAGGGTATAGGAGTCTACCATTCAGCATGGGTCAACAGCATGATATGACTGCTAGAAGTTTATATGGTTTTAAGTCCCACTTAGGGAAAATGATATCCTGAATGAGGGATTGATGGTCTGCTTTGCTCAGGTCAACTTGGTATACTGTGTACTACCCTTGGTGACATGGTTTTAAGATGAACATTGATAAAACATAAGAGTTGACAGTAAATTTTTTTAAGTTAGCAAATAGATATGTCTAAGATGGTGAGTAGAGTCAAAGTCATGAATTATAAGATACTGGAAGGAACAAAAATATTAAGTTTAAAAATATAATAAGTTTATAGGAAAAGGAAACTCAAGAAAGAAGCAATAGCTTCCCATAAATATCTGAAGGCCTGTTGTGTGACAGAGGGATGCAATTTGTTTTATGGAATCTCAGAGATACAATTAGGATGAAAGAAAAGGAAGTGTAGGAAGATAAATAATGTCTGGAAATTAGTTAATAATTTTCCCACCTTAAAAGCAATGAAATTTCTTTTTAATATAAGGATTCAAGAATAGCTAAGCAAGCACTTATCCATGATACTGTGGAAGGATTTTAAGCATTTAAATGAGGATAGAGACACTAGATGATGATGATGGTGATGATGACGATAAAAATAACAATGACCATTTAGTGATCATGCAAGATGTGTCAAATACTATACTAATTGCTTCCACAAAACCACTTCTGTGCTCTACAAAGTATAATTTTGTTCTTTGCAACAATTTTTAAAGCTGAGTATCCCTGGTGGCTCAATGGTAAAGAATCTGCCTTCAAGGCAAGGAGATCCAGGTTCAATCCCTGGGTTGGGAAAATACCCTGGAGAAGGGAATGGCCACCCACTCTAGTATTCTTTCCTGGAGAATTCCATGGAAAGAAGAATTCTTTCTAGCAGGCAACAGTCCATGGGGTTGCAAAGAGGTAGACCGGACATGACTGAGCAACCAACACTTTCAGTTTCATCATTATAGTGGCAAAGACCGCTGATAGATGACCAGTATTCCTTCTCTTCTTCCCTTCAGTAACTGAGTTTCTCACTCCAATTTTAACTACTCTCATGGTTGTCCAGCTGTAGTCTTTATTCCCCAGCTTCCCCTGCAGTTAGGTGTGACCTAGCAACCAAGTTTAGACCCATGCAACATAAGCAGAAGGGTAGGTGCAATAACCTCTAGGTTATCTCTTTGAAAACCCTTGTCCCGGACATTCTGTACTCCTTATCACCAAATAGAAAAGATAAGTGACTGGAATAATCTTTTATTTTTGAAGATGACCAATCCTCCTGGACAACCTGGGTTCTGGATGAGCTTGGAACAGTCCACATACACACCCTAGATAGTTCTGAAAAAGAAATAAACTCCTTTTCTAAGTCACTGATTATTTTAATCTCTTTGCTACCGTGGTTTAGCTGATGCCCTCTTAGAATAAGTGTCCTCATTATACAGTTAAGAAAAGCTCCCAAGTAGTTATGTGTATGCTGTTTAGTCATGTCCGAGTCTTTGCAACCCGATGGAATGTAGCCCACCAGGCTCCTCAGTCCATGGAATTTTCCAGGAAGAAAACTGTAATGGGTTGTCACTTCCTTCTCCAGGAGATCTTTTTGCATGTGGATTTTACCATTGCACCACCTGGGAAACTCAAGTAGTTAAACAGATTGCAAATGTCCATGTCATTGGTAAACAGCAAAGAAAAGTTATACAGTATAGTGATTCAAGATATATACCTATGTAATAAAATATATATGTGCATGCATGCTAAGTTGCTTCCGTTGTGTCCAACTCTTTGCGACCCCATGGACTGTACCCTGCTGGGCTCCTCTGTCCATGAGATTCTCCAAGCAAGAATACTAGAGTGGGTTGCCATTCCCTGCTCCAGGGGATCTTCCCTATCCAGGGATCGAATCCTCTTTTCTTATGTCTCCTAAATTGGCAGGCAGGTTCTTTACCAGTAGCGTCACCTGGGAAGCCCCAATAAAATCTATATCTAAGTGAAAATTCTTAAAGAGATGAGAATACCAGACCACCTTACCTGCCTCCTGAGAAATCTGTATACAGGTCAAGAAGTAACAGTTCGAACAGGACATGGAACAACAGACTGGTTCCAAACTGGGAAAGGAGTCCATCAAGGCTGTATATTGTCACCTTGCTTATTTAACTTATATGCAGAGTACATCATGTGAAATGCTGGATTGGATGAAGCACAAATTGGATTCAAGATTGCCAGGAGAAATATTAATAACCTCAGATATGCAGATGACACCACCTTTATGACAGAAAGTGAAAAGGAACTAAAAAGCCTCATGATAAAAGTGAAAGAAGAGAGTGAAAATACTGGCTTAAAACTCAATATTCAAAAACTAAGGCCATGGCATCCGGTCCCATCACTTCATGGTAAATAGGGAAACAATAGAAACAGTGACAGACTTTATTTTCTTGGGCTCCAAAATCACTGCAGATGGTGACTGCAGCCATGAAATTAAAAGATGCTTACTCCTTGGAAGAAAGCTATGACAACATATTAGAAAGCAGAGACGTTACTTTACTGACAGAACTCCATAAGGTCAAAGATATGGTTTTTCCGGTCGTCAAGTATGGATATGAAAGTTGGACTATAAAGAAAGCTTAGCGCCAAAGAATTGATGCTTTTGAACTGTGGTGTTGGAGAAGACTCATGAGAGTCCCTTGGACTGCAAGGAGATCCAAACAGTCCATCCTAAAGGAAAGCAGTCCTGAATTTTCATTGGAAGGACTGATGCTAAAGCTGAAACTCCAATACTTGGGCCACCTGATGCAAAGAACTGACTCTTTGGAAAAGACCCTGATGCTGGGAAAGATTGAAGGCAGGAGGATAAGGGGATAACAGAGGGTGAGATAGTTGGATGGCATCACTGACTTGATGGACTTGAGTTTGGGCAAGCTCTGGGAGTTGGTGATGGACAGGGAAGCCTGATGTGCTGCAGTCCACAGGGTCACAAAGAATCGGATATGACTGAGCCACTAAACTGAACTGAAGTGAATAATACATATGAAATTAGATCTTGTTGAACTTTAAATACAAAAAGCAGTAGCAATTAGGTAGAGATCTTAAACATACTTTGAAGAAAATTGTCAGGGTAAAAATTAGAGTATTTTATGCACCTCTCAATATATTAACTTGAACAGTAATCCTAGTCTTCTGCTTTTTAACATTTATTTGCATAATGTTTCTTTAGAGGTCTGCTAGACTTGCCAGATATCTTGTATACCATTACATCATTATGTGTATTAAATGATTAAAATATTTCTGTTCTTGATTTTATGCAAATTCATTTTTATTTACAGTGACTTTTAAGATACTAGATGATGAAAGCAAAAATATTCTATTAGAATCTATTGATTGCAAGAGATCAGTATTTATTCTTTAACATTTTTGTTTCTGATACATTCGTGTGCTTTATCTTCAATCTGATAGTTAGGCAATAAAGATGATTGGAATCTAATTTGATTCTCCCTCTGCACACCTAGTGCATTGGCACTCGCCCCACTGAGCTCCGCCTTCCCTCTCCACTCTCTCCATCCCTGTTTCCAGGCAGAACCCTGTCTGCACTCACACAGGAAAATCATGAGTCTTTGGTTTCCCCTTGGAGCTCTGCTGCTGAGAGGATATGTATTTCTGCTCATCAGCCAGAAAGGGAGGAAGGCCATCACTTCAGAGAGGCCCAGAGTAGCTTTCTCTTCCTTCTTTAATAAGGAATGTTTGGAGTAAATGCATTGCTTTTCATCTTAGTTCACAATGGGAAACAAGTGAA